TCTCTCAGAATAAATAAACTTTAAAAAAAAAAGAAAGAAAAGGAAATTGCTCTTTGATGACAATTCATTCCACAAAAACCAGAGTGCCTCTTATCAAGTCAGTTTAATAAACACAAGTTTACCTGTTTCATCATGGTAGTTCACAGCTTCTGTCTCCATCCATGCATTATCAGTGTTTCGAGGATCATCGACATATCCTTTATATATCTATTTTTAAAAGGAAGCAGACAAAAAAAGTGTACAGTCAAACACGAATGGGCGGAGCAGATGCCTGCTACATCAGAAATGTAAATATCCTATTACAAAGCAGTGTGCATATAATTAACTGTACATTATAAAGTTAAGATGGTAAATTATATGTCATGTTTTTTTTACTACAATAAGAAAAAAGTGCCAACCTAAAATTGTCAGGAGGCAATAATTAAGCATTTATTTATGATCAGAGAACTGCAAATCTGAGTACAGAGATGTGGGTAGCAACCCAGTGTCCCACTAGGGAGCAAAGTCAGAGGTTTTTAAGATGGAAAGAGAATGCTTGTATAAGTTGTTTTCAAAGAATTTTGACTGGTATTGCTGCAGAAAACTAATCTTGAGTGAATATAATTGGTTGCTAAGGCTATCACTAAGCAAGTCCCTTTTGTAGCAAGTTGCAGGTGTTTGTGTAGAGTCTTTGGAGTATTTGCGGTTTAGCCCAGTTTAAAAGATCAGGGCTCCACCTGGTGAGGAAGTCCCACCTTCTTAAAGGCCTCTCAGCTCCATTTTAAAACCCCTTGATAATAAGTGACTCCTTATTTCACCTTTCACAAGTGAAATGTAAGTATCATAGAAACTTTCATGTAACATTCCACATGCTTGTTTTAAATTTCCTAGGATAAGTATTCTCAAGGTCAGCTTTAAAATTCACAAAACCCTCAACTCTTCAGACTCTAATTTCATAATTTGAGAATAGTCTTATTTGGGCCATATGACTTTTTTAAAGGCTCTATAAGTATTTTTCTGCGATTATATATAAGTATATTTTATATATGTATATATAATTTCTGTGATTATAGTTTCAGACATACAAAGATAGATTTTTTTAGTTTAAAAAAGAAGATCTATAAATAAATTTAGTAAAGACTAATACTTAAGCTATTAATATAGGGAAAGATTTGGATCTAGCCATCTAACACAAATGTGACCCCAAAAGACTGAACATAAATAAATAAGAAATCCTAATTCTAGAAAGAAAACAAAGCAATTCAAACAAAAGCCAGCAAAAAAGAAACTCTTTTTCCTTATTACCAGCACACATATACTTTATAAGGTGATTTTTTTTAAATCACAAAGGGTATGTAGACAAAACATAAGACTTAAATGGTTATCAACCAGAAAAACTCTGAATAACATAATTTAAAATGTAAACGTACTCTCAAAAGAGCTAAATTTATGTAAGTTTTTTTAAAAGGTTTCCAGATGGATGGGTGTGTTCAGTGTCACGTTGGCTCACATCTAGTCTAAAGAAAAACTAAGAGGAAAAAAGTGTATTCTAATAAATGTAACTGACCTAAAGTTGGGCTATAAAAGTTTAAGCAGAAATCTATTCACAGTGAAGATCTATAATTTGTTTCTATGAATATGTATTTCAAATACACAGGTTTTACCTATCAGATTTCCAGGTGAACTTTTAAGGAATTTTCACTAATCTGTGAGGCTAAAATCCTTCATGGGAACCATTTCTTACCACTAGATGTTCCTGGCTGAAGAGTTTGTGCAACTGTTCCTCTAATTCTCTCTTTTCTGCACTGGATTTCTGTAAGGAGTTGAGAGCTTCCTCACCAAATTCTCTTTTCAGTGTAGCACTAATCTTCTCTCCTGGGTCCACCATCCCCTAATAGCCACATTATTTAAAAAAAAAAAAAAAAAAAAAAGTAATAAGCTTTAATTCATTCAACAAATATTTCCTGGGTGATGCAGTAGACACATTGTTCTACCTGGCCATAATCATGATTCCCATTCTCCTGTGATATGTTCTTCTCTAAACCATTTGATTCTAGTAGAAGTAGCCAATCAGGGTATCTCATGTATTTGCAGTAATTTGTCCAAGGTTAGCCAATAGTAAACTGAGCCAATAAGACTCCTTTCCTGGTATCTTCTAAACTCAAGCTAAGGAAGGAAGGCCTGGAGGCAAGATGGAATATAGCAAGCCGAAATTTCCCCATTGTCCATCCCATTCCAGCCACACTGACCTCCTGAATCAGTGTCTAGGACATGCCAAACAAATCCCACCTAAGGCCTTTGCACCTGCTATTGCTTGTGTCCAACATGCTTTTCCCTAGATACCCACATGCATCGCTCATTCACCTTCTTCGAATCTTTGCTTACATGTTACCTTCTCAGACCTTTTATAACCACTCTAATCTCAAATTGCAAACTCTCAAACATTTCCTAGTCTCCTTCTTTGCTTTAGTTTTTTCCTTAATATTTATACCTTTAAACATACAATAACATATTTTATATTATCTGTTTCCCCCACTGGTATGTGAGCTCCAAGAAAACAGGGATGTTTATGTTGCTCTGTTATATTCTCAATGTCTAATATATCAGCTGACAAAAAACAGATCTCAAAATATACTGATTAGATGAATGGTTTTCAATATGACATCAGGGACAACCACTTCCTTACTGATCAGAATTTCAGATGACAAAAATATAAAATCCTACGATGAAATCATTACCGTGTTTTACACTAAGCATGGGTGAAGTTTGACAATTTGGCTCATAATAATTAACCTAAGCTTTTATTACAGTCACCTGGGATTTTTATTTCCAATCCATTTTTATCCTACAAAGAAAAAAAACAACCATTCTTGCAGATAGCAGTGTAAGAATCATCCTCTTTTCAAATTATCTTCATTTCACAATATGGCATAAAATATAAAACCCTCTGTTGCACACATACACATTTCAAAAAGCCACTTCAAATTTACCACTGAAATGAACTCAACAAAGGTACAACTGTTCCTGATGATACTACAGAAATTTTAAAAACTACAAGGAGGGGTGCCTGAGTGGCTCAGTTGGTTAAGCATCTGACTTTCGGCTCAGATCATGATCTCACAGTTTGTGAGTTCTACCTCCACTTCAGATCCTCTGTCCCCACCCTCTCTCTGCCCCTCCCCAGCTTGCGCACTCTCTCTCTCTCTCTCTCTCAAAAGTAAATACACATTAAAAAAAATTTTTTTTAACTACAAGGAAAAGTAACAAGAATTATCTTTTTTATGTCTAAAGTTAATGAAAATTCAATAAACCAATGCTAACAGTCTTACCTTGGACTTGGAAGTAGGGATTGAGTTCTGAGATGGGACCCAACATGTATGAATATCTACTTTATGCCAGGTGTTTTATATGCTACCGCTACTAATCCTATGAAGTAGATAGAATTATGTAAATTTTAAAGAGAAAGTTCTGGGGCACCTGGCTGTCTCAGTCAGTAGAGCAACTCTTAATCTCAATGGTGTGATTTAGAGCCCCAAACTGGGTGGAGAGACTACTTAAAAAATAAAAATTTTAAAAATTTAAGGTAAGTGTCTGAATTCTGCATTCTCAGCTCAAAGTGGGAAGGCCAACGTACAAGCCTAGGTCTAACTCCAAAGTCCATGTTCTTTTCCAACGGCTTTATAATTAGACTCAAATTCTAACAGCCTTGATGTATTATCCTACACTTGCTATTGACAGACTTCATTGCAGTGATAAATGACAAAAGAATTACTAAGTGAAGTGTGAAGGAATGGAAAATAAATGGAGGATAAAGATCTATATACAATAACCTTGCAGTAAATGAAACTAAAAAGAACTTTAATTTAATTTTAATTCTTACCCCTGGGATTGCCCATTCTCCACAGTCTTTCCTTTTTATTGCCACAAACTGTAAGATGTTTTTCCCAGAAACAGGGTGGGTAATTTTATTTCCACTTCTATCCCTTTTCCACCTGTAAATAGTAATATAAAATCATAATGGATTTTGAAGAATAAGGATCTATGTCAAACTTGAGACAAAGTTATAACGATGTATTTTTCTTTATAACAAGAGTATTATAAATTCACCTCTCAGCTAGTTTTACCAAAAAAATTATTTTGTATTAGAAATATCCTGGGGTGCCTGGGTGGCTCAGTTGGTTAAGCGTCCGATTTCGGCTCAAGTCATGATCTCACAGTTCGTGAGTTTGAGCCCCGCGTTGGGCTCTGTGCTGACAGCTCAGAGCCTGAAGCCTGCTTTGGATCTGTGTCTCCCTCTCTCTGCCCCTCCCTCGCTCATGCCGTGTGTGTGTGTGTGTGTGTGTGTGTGTGTGTGTGTGTGTGTGTGTCTCTCTCTCTCTCTCTCTCTCTGAAAAATAAACAAACTTAAAAAAAAAAATATTCTGTATTGAGCACTGTTACAAACCAAGTCAGATGTCTACTTTCCAAAAAAGACATTCTCTGTAATAAAAATTCAGAATATAAGTAGTTTTTATTAAAGAATTGTCAAAAAAAGTTTAAAAGAACAGAATTTAGAGGATGGGTCATCAAACTTAAAAACATAGTCGAAGGATCCTTTTTAAGAATCACTTTAATATAAGAGATCTGGTAATATTTCCTTTTAATGGGTCACTCTGTTATCAAAACAGAGATTACACAATACAAGTTCAGCTGGTCTCAACAGTAGTGCTTCTCAATCTTTATGCCCTTTCTTAAAAAACAACAAAAACAAAAAAACCACAAAAACCTCACTCTATCCTTTAGTTTTTAAAAAAGTATCAAATTGGGGCACATGGGTGGGCTTAGTTGTTTGAGCATCTGACTCTTGATTTCAGCTCAAGTCGTGATCCCAGGGCATGGGATCAAGCCCTGCATCAGGCTCCACACTCAGTGTGGAGCCTGCTTTGGATTCATTCATTCATTTTCTCTCTCTCTCTCTCCCCCCCCCCACTCTGTCCCTCTCCCCCACTCAAGCTCTCTTAAAAAAAAAAAAAGTATCATGCTTATGTTAATTTTAGAACGAACTTTTTTTTTTAAAGATTTTTTTTAGGTTTTATTTTTAAGTAATCTCTACACCCAACATGGGGCTCAAATTTACAACCCTGAGATCAAAAGTCACATGCTCTACCAACTAAGCCAGGCAGGCGCCCCAAGAATGCACTTTTTCTAACCATAGCCTCTTGCCCAGATATGCTGATACATCTCCCTTTCCCTTCTCTACCCCCACCACACCCAATTTTAAGAATTGTTCTAAAACTATCTTAGGCAAAGAAAAAGATTTTGAACCTCTAGTACTAAACCAAAAAAGAAAGCCTATGATCTAATCATTGCTTTGAATTAGAATCAATGAAATTAAATGAGTTTAAATAGTTCTCCCCCCTCCTGCAAATAAATAAATAAATAAATAAATAAATAAGTTTCCAAATTTCTTTATATAGTGGTTGACTACCATATCTAACCCATAATTCCTGCCCTGAAAGAGCTCATAGTCTAGGGGTGGAGCTAGACATGTAAGTGAATAAATTATAAGAGAGTGACAATTTGATGAGGACAGTAAATAGAAATGAAAGAATAATTAGTACAAGAAGACAGCATCTGTTTTTAAGGATGCCAGACATAGGTATGACATGAGCAAGAAACAAAGGTATAAAATAATATGTTCAAGAAACTGAATCTATAGGTGGGGTCTGGCACCATGGGCACCACAGAGGGAAAGAAGGATGATGAGGTCAGATGAGTAGGCAAAGAATTCATCAAATTCATCTGCTTAGAGAGCCAAAGAATATTTTTAAGCAGGGTAAAACCATAAGCAATTTGTATTTAGAAAGCTCACTCACTTTGACAAAAGTGTGGAGGCTGGTTGGGAAGAAAGCAAGACTGGAGGCTAGAAGACTGTTACCACTGATGAGGAAGTATAAGGCAAGCTGAGAGCAAAGTACAAGCTAGCATACCCCACCCCCACCCCCAAGTGGGATATGTGTGGTATTCCTCAGGCACTCCTAGATGCCCAAGAACAAAAGAAAGGAAAGAAAACAAATGGTTAGAGATCACAGTCATGCAGGTCAGGAGTCTCTATCAGTTTACAAATACCTTAGTAAATTACAAGAAAAAGGCAATCTTATCAATATCCTAATCTTCTGAAACCTAGACTCAGTTTCCTGGAGCCCCTAATATCACCCTCCCCTCCACAGTGATGTGGGGAACAAAGGCAAGAAGGAAATGGCAGGTAAAATTAAATTTCCTTATAACCTGCAACCTGCAGCCCACTGACAAATACTTGAAGCAAATGCAGAGTATAACATTTCTCCAGGAACCCCCTGCAGTCATAATGTTGATGCCTTACTAGAGGGAAAACAAGCTTAGCTTGACAACAGCAAGGCCTCAGGTATCTTAGGAGTCCTCTTTAGCACACTGAAGTCCCTCTGGAGGCCTCCCTTTTGTCTTTACCTCCCCCAACTCCACAGTATGTAACCAGTCACTCCTCACAACCCCAGTGCAGCTCTTTCTGCCCACGGGTCCTGTCCCTGTGCTTTAATAAAATCATCTTTTTGCACCAAAGATGTCTTCAAGAATTCTTTCTTGGCCATGAGTTCTGAACCTCACCATCACCCCAAAACCCCATCACCATGATCCAGGTACAAGATTGAGAACAGGAATGAAGGTAGACGTGGTACTTTTACTTCTTAAGGCCCATTTCTATAGCACTTATTATGTACCTGATACTGTTAAGTCTTTCATGTATTTATCCATTTAAGTCTCAAAACAACCCTATAAAGTAGTTGCATTATTATCTTTATTTTACAAATGTGGAAAATGAAGCACAGAGTAGATTAAACTTGTCCAAGACTGCAGAGCTAAGTGGTATAAACCAAAATTTGAACCCAGACAATCTGCTTCCAGAATCTGCACTCTTAATCACCATACTGTCTACTTAAATCAAACAAACAGAATGTTTACACTAATTGGGTAAGAGGAGGGTGTGTGAAGGTGAAAGATGCTCTGTACACTCACACACACTTACCAGCACCTACTATATATACATCACATTAGAGAAGCTGGGAAAACCAAGACAGACATGCCGCCAGTTGAGGCTGCAGCACAGGGAGAAGCAGGACTGGGGGCGAGGCGCTGCCGGGCTAGAGAGGGCCAGACTGATGATGAACAGTCACATAACCTGTTTACCTTCTCAGATTTTACCCCAAAGGCACTCATTTAAGAACTACCAAGCAGAGTAGTTTCTTCTTTTGTTCCTTATTGTAAATACCAAATGATGAGGAAAACAAAGGCAGAAGGAAATGGCAGATAAAGTTAAATTTCCTTACAACCTGCAGCCCACTGACAAATACTTCAGGCAGGTAGGGTATAACATTTCTCCAGGAACTCCCTGCTGTCTTAATGTGAATTCTTTGCTGGAGGGGGAAAATGACCTAGCTGACAACAGCTAGGCCTCCTGGATCCTGTGAGTCTTCTTCAGCATATGAAAATCCCTTTGGAAACTCCCCCTCCCTCCCCCCCCCACTTTACTCCCCAAACTTCCAAGTACATAACCAGTCTCTCCTCAGAGGTCCCAAGGCAGCAATTTCTGCCCCCGGGTCCTAACCCCATGTGTTAATAAAATCACCTTTTTGCACTGAAGAAGTCTCAAGAATTCTTTCTTGACCATTAGCTCCAATCCCCATCACTCCAAAACCTTATCATCAAATAAATTATTGCCGAATTTAAAACAAAATCCTTGATATAATGGAAATAATGTATATTTTAATTAATGAACCTCATTAACATTTGTTAAATGCCAAAGGTTATTTCTAAATACTATTGATATTCCCTCCCCACTTGATGGCTCACACCTTCCTGTCTCACCAAAACTGGAAAGAAAATGAGAATACCACTAACTATGGATCTGACTTTACTCACAGTAATGTATCAACACTTCCCACCTCATTTTCACTTTAAAGGATCTAAAGGAACATCAGATAGTTGTACCCACCGAATCTCTAGGAGAGGTCCCAGAGAACAGAAACATTTAACACTTTCCCTGGAGCATTTGTTAAACTACACTATACAGAGCTGTTCTGAATCATGAAGTACTTGAAAGAAAAGGGAATGGAATCTTTAAAGTGCCTAGATGATGCTTATGATTACTCATTAGTGAAAAACTGGTATAAAAGAGAAAAAGTATAATATCTGGAGCCAAATACCACAGACCCAAATTTCAGATCGACATAAACATTTAGGCAAGTCACTTAACCCCAGTGAGTCTTCATTTTCAGGTCTATAAAACAGAGATGTTAATATCTACTTTGAGGAGTTGTATGAGAAACAAATGGAAAAACTGATGACAGCACCTAGCAGAGGAGAGCAATACTTTTTAACAATGTGCTTTAGCCTCGTTGATGCTTCCTTTTTAACATCTTACATTCTTCTCTTCCTTCCATTTCCGCTGCCACTCACTCATTTAGACCAACTCATAGCTAAATATATGCATTACTGAGGTAATAAAGAACATCAACCTAACAGTACAGGTGAAAGCTAGACTCTGCCATCTGTGGGCTTTTCCATACCCTTGGACCCTCTCAAAGTCTTCAGCTATTGCTTAAGCTGTTGTATAATGACCGCATTAAGCTCAAAAAGTCTATTATTTCAAAACAATGCAACCCAATCACCACATACACTCCCATGTATTTGGCCCACCAGAGATAAAGATAAGCTAATGAAAGGCTAACTTCCAAGTGTCTAGCTTCCCTTTTCTGCTTCTTGTCCCCTTACTGGCATTTCTACTTCAAATGCTTCACACCTTCCTGATTTTAGCCAGCCTTACCAAAGTTGGAAACAAAACTGATACTGTCATTAATATTTTTTATTTACATTCATTAAAAGTATATTAACTCTTCCCATTTAAACCATAAAATTTCTAAAGTAATTTTATTTAAGTCTATTTATTTATTTTGAAATAGCATGCATGCACAAGGGGAAGGGGCAGAGAGAGAGAGAGAGAGAGAGAGAGAGAGACAAAGAGAATCCCAAGCAGGATCTCTCACAAACCATGAGATCATGACCTGAGCCGAAATCGAGCTGGACACTTAACCAACTGAACCACCGAGGTGCCCCTCTAAAGGAATTTTAAATAGATACGTGGGTTGGTAGGTAGATACATAAGCATCTATACATAAGATAGGTAGATGGCTGGGCAGGAGGACGCAAGAAAGGATGGAAGGAGAAAACTGGAGTGAGCTGTGGGGTAAAGACCTCTTTTGTCAGGGAAATTGAAAGGCCAAGGAGAACAAGATGGGACAAATATTGGTGCCTCTTCCAGTAACTTGAAAATAAGGGAATTAAGCTGTTTTCTTAGAGTTAACCTATGAAATCATTACTGGATCTCAGATCAGAGAAAAAGTTTCCTGAAAGAAAGGAAGACCCTCAAAATATGAAAATTAAAAAATAAAAATATTGAGGGTATTTGCATTATTTAAAGCAAAGTGACAATTATTTGTGAAGACGGAGTTGGTCAGTGAAGAAATCCTAAAAAAAAAATCAAAAGGATGACAGAGATGACAGAATATTCCAGACGTGCTGAAAAGATGATTCCTATGAAGATGGTCAAGTCCATCTAAACCTAAGATTCACCTGCCTTCCTTATTCTGATTCATGCTTACGAAGGGGCCTTCTGAATATGATGTGGCTTACCAGATAGATTTACCTCAGGAAGAGAATGCCTGTCCCCTATTCCGAAATCTTCAAGGGCTCCCCTTAACACTCCTGAACTTTGTTATTGTAATATTCTCCACAATAAAACTGCATAAAAATTACATGTTTGATTACCCACTATTCTACAAAATATTCTGCTTCGACCAGCTGATCCTTTCATTGTCCCTCAATACTCAAATGGAAGATTTTGAGGGGGAAGACGGCGGCATAGGAGGACACTAGGCTCACCATGTCCTGCTGATCCCTTAGATTCCACCCACATCGGCCTAAATAACCCAGAAAACTGCCAGAAGACTAGGAGAATGGATTCTCTGGAGCCAAGCGTAGACAAGAGGCCCACAGAAGAGGGTAGGAAGGGTGAAGAGGTGGTGTGCACAACCTGGACTGGCGGGAGGGAGCCGGGGTGGCGGAGGGGCAGCCTGCATAGCAAGGTGGAATCCCCGAGTCTGGCTTGCAAAAGCAGAGGGGCCGGACGGAGTGTGTTCTGACAGTCAGTGGGACTTAACATCTGGAATGTCATAAGTCAACAGCTCTCCTCGGACAGGAGGAGAGCTAGAGGACTATGGGAGGGAAAGTTGTTGAGCCCCGCAGGACAGAGTTCAGCTTGCCAAGGAACAAAGGCACTGGAAAGCACCATCTCCCTCTCTCATCCCCCAGCCAAAATCCCAAAGGGAACCAGTTCCCGTAACAGAACTTGCTTGCACCACACAAACACCCAAGGCTGTGCTTCTGTGGATCCATCCCTCTGATGGGTCTGCCTCCCTCCCGGTGCCGCAGGGCCCCTCCCAAAGCGGACCACCGAAGGCAAAGTGAGCTGAGTCTACCCCTCCCGCCCCTGTGCACCTTGCGGATCCACCCTGGCTAACACACCAGATCCCATCGAAGCAGCACCACAAGCCTGGCAGTGTGTAAGTAGGCCAGACAAGGGCCACACCACTCCACAGTGAGTCCTGCCCCTGGGAGAGGGGAAGATAAGGTACATACCACTCTGACTGTGGCCCCAGCGGTGGCCTGGGGGCAGACAGCAGGTCTGACTGAGGTCGAGCCCACCAACACAAGTTACTCCAGACAGCACAGGGGAAGTGCGCTGCAGTTCCATGCCACCCCAGGGATTATCCAAAATGACAAAACGGAAGAATTCTCCTCAAAACAAACTCCAATAAGTAGCAACAACTAACGAACTGATCAAAAATGATTTAACCAATATAATGGACCATGAATTTAGAATGATAGTCATAAAATTAATCGCTGGGCTTGAAAAAAGTATAGAGGACAGCAGAGAATATTGCCACAGAGATCAAGGGACTAAGGAACAGTCAGGAGGAGCTAAAAAATGCTATAAATGAGCTGCAAAATAAAATGGAGGCGACCACAGCGCGGACTGAAGAGGCAGAGGAGAAAACAGATGAATGAGAAGATAAAATTATGGAAAAACAGGAAGCTGAGAAAAAGAGATAAAAAAATCCAGGACTGTGAGGGTAGAATTAGAGAACTAAGTGATGCTATAAAACGCAATAATATACGATATTTGGGATTCCAGAGGAGGAAGAGAGAAAGGTGCTGAAGGTGTACTTGAAGAAATCATAGCTGAGAACTTCCCTGATCTGGGGAAGGAAAAAGGCATTGAAATCCAAGAGGCACAGAGAACTCTCTTCAGGCATAACTTGAATTGATCTTCTGCATGACATATCATAGTCAAACTGGCAAAATACAAGGATAAAGAGAAAATTCTGAAAGCAGCTAGGGAAAAACATGCTTTAACATATAAAGGGAAACCAATAAGACTAGTGATGGATCTATCTACTGAAACTTGGCAGGACAGAAAGGAATGGCAGGAAATCTTCAATGTGATGAACAGAAAAAATATGCAGCCGAGAATCCTTTATCCAGCAAGTCTGTCATTCAGAATAGAAGGAGAGATAAAGGTTTTCCCAAACAAACATAAACTGAAGGAATTCATCACCACTAAACCAGCCCTACAAGAGATCCTAAAGGGAATCCTGTGAGACAAAGTACCAGAGACATCACTACAAGCATGAAACCCACAGACATCACAATGACAATAAACCCATATCTTTCTATAATAACACTGAATGTCAATGGATTAAATGCTCCAACCTAAAGACATAGGGTATCAGAATGGATAAAAAAAAAAACAAGACCCATCTATTTGCTGTCTACAAGAGACTCATTTTAGACCTGAGGGCACCTTCAGATTGAAAGTGAGGGGATGGAGAACGATCTATCATGCTACTGAAGTCAAAAGAAAGCTGGAGTAGCCATACTTATATCAGACAAACTAGACTTTAAATTAAAGGCTGTAACAAGAAATAAAGAAGGCCATTATATAATAATTACAGGGTCTATCCATCAGGAAGAGATA